GTCCCCTTTAGCCGTAGCACAAATTTTTATGCACCTTCGATCATGTACCTTGCATACTAAGCAATGAAATAAATTTCTACTTCCCTTACACTTTGTTACTGCACATTTTGCTTCTTCGATCCTGGATACTAAACCCCATGGGCTACCTCTACTTGGGGACTATCAAGCCCACGGGCTACCCCTACTCGGGCACTATCACCCGATGAAAGTTTGGACGACCCGGGCTACCGAATCTTAGAGGCACCGAAACCATTAGGCGGTGCCCAAATATAAAATGCTATGGCCACCTAACAATGGCTCGGAGATGTATGAAGTCCGTAACTAGAAAGTAAGACCCTTACGAAAATTCCAAAACCTACCAAATGGTTACCCACGACAAAAATCGCGTCTTAAAATACTTAAGCATCTTAAAAACCTTCGGCACCGAGGGTTCGAAGACATAAGTAAAACAAAGTTTCCAATGAATTCGGGCTACGTTCGAACCTCCAAAAAATGGATGCTCTAGAACCATATCCGATTTTATGCTAAGGCATCAAAAAGAATACGCAAATAAAAATTACAAGAAGATGCAGGAAAAGTAAAGACATGGTATTGCCAAAGGGAAATTTTTTTATATACTCCAAAATATATTCACAAAAGCCCGATAGAACGACCTCAAATAAACAAAAAAATATATATATACATAAGGAAAAACTAAAAAAAAATAGTCTTCACCGAGGCCTGACTCGTAGCTAGAACCGTCGGAACCCTTAGAGACCTCGTAGCCTTCGGGACCCTCAGGCTCGTAGAGCTCCTTTGCCTCGGCCTCGAGCTTCCTAACTTCTTTAATCTTGGCTGATAGGTCAAAACCTCGGGCATGGATCTCTTCGAGGGTCTCTCTCCGGGATAACCGCTTTATATACTCAGTCTTCATCTTTAAGCGGGTCTCGGCTACCTCCACATCGGCCATGTACGGAGCCATCATTTCCTCAGCATCAGTAGAGGTTGCATCCAATTTGGACCTCAGTGCCGCGTATTCTTGTTCGAGATTATCTTGTTATGTGATGGCCGAGCTCAGCTGTGCCCGATGATCATCATTCAGCCGAGACCACTTATCACCTTTGCCCTTCGCCACCCAAAGTTGGTTCTCGACCGATGCTAGCTCCGCTTTCATAGCTTCCTTCTCCAAAGCCAGCAGGTCCATCTTACCCTTCCACACTTCGTTCGCGGCCTTGACCTCGTCCATCTTAGCCCGAAGCTGTTCGATCAAGCATATCTTCTATTGGACCTGCAAAGTTGTGTTATTAGTCACAATATCTAGCTGCTCGTTTTTAGCCTCAAAGATCTTTACCTTCTCAACCAGATCGGTGTGTTCCCCTTTCAGGGTCGAGACCTCTCTTTGAGGTTTTTCTAGCTCGGCTTGAAGAATTGAGAGGTCTTTGAGGGCCTTGTCCTGCTACTCACTATGAGCCATTTACATGTCCTTCTTCCAGACCTACTCTTTGAGCTCGAACTCGAGCTAGCTAATCTCCAAGAGGTACCGGAGGAAGCTTTCATAGTGAAGCACTGAAGCTCGTAAAACAATGAAGTTAGTAGAGGACATCAAAAACCAATGTGAGATTCACAAAGGAGTACAAAAGGGTTGATTCCATACCAGGTTTAGCACCTGTTGTGCCTCGTTGAATAGGCTCGACGTGCCCACTTCGTTCATCTTTACCTGGTCCTCCTCGGTCACTAGACACCGGAGGTAGTTGGCTACGCCCACCGGAGCAGACAGGACCCGAACATCCTCCAAGATTGTGAGAACAACCATTCTCTAGCGCTCGGGGTCTGTACTCGGAGTAGGGAATTACTTCGCTAGTCTTGGGCTCAAACTTAGCCTGCTCGCGCCCGAGGTCACATCCTTCTTCGAGACCTCCAGGTGACCAAGACCAGAAAAATCCTCCAATGTAGCCATATCCATGTCTTCGAAGAACGTGTTGAGGGCGTCATCTGGGCCCTACGCCACCTTGCCTGACTTCTCTTTACCCGCTTGGGCCTCTTCAAGCATGGACGCGGTATATGAGGGTGTCTCCACGATGTCAATGACACCGGTTGCCTCCATCGGAACATGAGCTGCTTCTTCGGAGGTTGCAATCTCCGTCTCTCTTTATGGTTTTGAGTTAGAGGAGGATCGACCTCATGTTCCTCTTTCTGGACATCACCTGCTCCCCCTCATTAAGGGTCGACCCATGAGTGACGAAAATGTCATCATATTCGGGTTCGTCCCTGAGTCGGTAGAGAGAATAGGGTTCCGGTACCCTGGACTTGGTGCTCTGTATGGGCTTCCAGACCCGGATGGTCAACTTCTTCTTCTTCTTCTTCGCCTCAGCGTCTGGGGAACCCGAGGACTTTCTCTTCTTCTTCTTCTTCTTCTTCTTCTTCTTTTAATATTCTTCTCCTCCTCCTTCACGGCATCCTCGGGCTGCCCCAAAATGGATGAATCCTCGTCCTCATCCAACGGCCTATGTTCGGTGGCCTTAAGAAAACCTGTAAGAAAAGAGAAAGGGCTATCACTATGTAAGTTAAGAGAATGGTGATAATTATTTAGGGAAGAACCTCACCATGAGAATGGGCCTCCCATTTTCCCTTTGAGAGCTTGTGCCATGCGCGCTCGGAGTACAACATCTGCTTGAAGATTCCCTCGATCCACTCCTTGAATCGGAGGATTGCATCAGGAACTTGGGCAACAACTGCACGACCACAAACGCGGGCAATGAGAGAAAGAATAAAAGAAAGGAATACTCAAGAGAGACAATACTTACGGGATGTGTTCCACTCCTCGGGGAACAGCAAAAACTCGGGAGGGATCAGGTCTTCGCTTTTCACCCGAACGAACCTCCCCTACCAGCCTCGGTCTCAGTCCTCGTCGATGCTCAAGAAAAGATCCTTACTTGCTTGGCGAATGATCTTGATCAGCCCCCCTAAGAAGATTCGGGGATTGTTTAGGCGGAGTAGATGGCCGAGGGTGAATCGAGGGGCTTCAGTATTATTCACGAAATGGTGTAAGAGGATCACGATCCTCCAGAAGGACGGTGTATTTGCCCAAGGCACACCTCGTACCTTTTGTAGAAAGCAAGGACTACGGGGTCCATCGAGGCGAGCATGAAGGGGCATGTGTGAACACTCAAGTACCCCTTCACGTGAGTAGTAATATCGTTATTGGGCCCAGGAACAACGTCCTTACCCTCCCATTTACAGTTCGCTCGAACTATGGGTAGGGTTTCTTTAGTGACGGAGCATATGTATCTCCATGCTCCCTCGCCTCGGTCTTGTTGACTAGAGGCCCTCTCGACCTTGAAGTCGTCCCCGATAGAGCAGCCCCTAGGTATGAAGCTTTTCATGGGAGGCTCCTGAGCCACTTCAAGAATGGGCCACCTCGGCATTTGCGGTCGGGTGGGAAGATGAAGGAGTAGCCTGCTGAGGCATTGGCTTAGAGGTTTTTGTCATTGTGATCTAGGAAATATGAAGGTATGAAGATTTGAAGATGGTATGAAGGTATGAAGGTCTAGGTTGAAGGTTCAAAGAAGATGTATAGGGATTAAAGATGAAGATATGAAGGCTCAAAGAACAATGTATGAAGAGTTGGAGAAGATAAAAGCTGTTAGAGAGTTCGAGGGTAAAGTCTGGAATCGGAAAATCGAAGAAGTGAAAAAGGTTGAGGATTTTATAGGGGAAATAATAATCAATGCGTGACGTTTTGCATTTGAAAGCAGCCAGCCAGTGGATGACACGTGTCTGAAGTAAGAACGACGTGACTGATGGGACGTTTCGATTTACCCGTCATCTTAGTTGTAATGTACGAAGGAAGGAACTGGAGTTCATCTATCGTTTTCCATTATTTCGGCAAACCTACTATCCGAAAAAATAAGGGAACTATCTGTACATGTGTAAAATCGGGGTAAGTGCACACCCCGATTTCTCGGTGAAGAAAACGGAAGAAGGGCATAGATGCACGAGACTGAAATTGAGGTTGGGAACCCTTCGATATCGAGACCCATGAAAGGTGAACAATGTGTTCATCATCGGGGCATGATAAAGCAACGCTCCCCAGACCCCGGACGATTTTTAAAACCTCAGAAAATACGGTAAACGGTTACACACGACGGATTGAGGGCCGTTATATTCGTACTTGACCGGGTATCACGTCGCAGATCTCACTCGATGTAACACGCGAACCAATGCAATACAAATTCATTTTCTGCTTTCTAGCCACTGCAAAAGTTCTTATTTAATTGTTTTGTTCTTCATTCACAACTGGCTCGAACCATGTGTCCAATCGAGGGCAAAAATTACTGTTCAACCTAGGTTCGGACTAGGCGATAACATTACAACTGGTTCGATCATTTATTTTGTCTTTAACTCGTTTATCTAATATTCTTGATTATTTGTGTTGAATCAATCCACTTATTCTTAAAACCGCTTACAAATTTAATTGTTATCTGATTTAAGGGTAAACAATATTTTTTACATATTCTGGAGATATACTATGAATGTTTTCTACATAAAATGCATAAATAAAAACATATATAGTATACCATTGTTATATTTGTATGATTAAATATTTTTAATTAATTTTTGTAACTAGTACTAAATTTATCTCAGACCAAGAAAATAGGAAATAATACATTTAATAGTGTTTTATGGTAATAGGAAATTTAGGAATTGACATATTTAATGGAGTGATTTATGGAAAGATGGAATCCCGGTGGGGATTGGTTGGGGTCAGTTTCTATTATGGAATGTAAAAATTTTGCTGCTATGTTTCTTATAAATTGATTAGTATGGCTGGGATTCTGTAAAAAGAAAAAAAATATAAATAAAAAACTTTGTTTTGGTTCTGCACTTATTTGATTACTCTGCTCCAAGTCCATACAGAGTAGTTAGTAGTTGTAAGATAGCTGTTAAAAGGAAATGGCAATGTGGGCTGCCGGCATCCTTCATTAAATCCAGTTTACTTTTTTCTCAAAAAAAGTAGAGTATCCGCGCTGGGCATTTAATTGATGCATTGCACACGCATACCCGGGTCCCTCTATTACGTGGTATAGGCATTCTCGGTCGGTACACTACTAACTTCCCAGAATGGACGTGGAATCAAAACAAGGCAACAAATTCTCCGGAATGACGCCGCCTCTAAATAACGGATCCTCCAAGAAGAGAAGAGGAAGAAATTACTGCTTCAACTGCCTAGCCGTCCTTCTCCTTCTGGGCCTTCTCTTTCTCATCTTGGGCCTCACCGTTTTTAAAGCCAAAAAGCCCGTCATCACTGTCAACTCCGTTTCTCTACGGGATATGGATTTCTCTGTCGACATCGCTAGGCTCCAAGTTCACCTCAACGTCACCCTTCAGGCCAACCTTTCTGTCAGAAATCCCAACCGGGTCGGGTTCAAATACGACTCTACTTCCGCCATCCTAAAGTATAAGGGCCAGGTCGTGGGAGATGCCCCTATTCCGACAGGCGAGATAGGTTCCCGTGAAACGCGTCCGATGAATATTACCCTCACTGTAATGGCCGATCGATTGCTTTCCAATTCCGGTTTGTATTCCGATGTCCTTTCCGGTTCTGGTACGTTACCCCTCACTACTTATGTGAAATTGTCGGGGGTGGTCCGAGTTCTGTTCAAAATTCACGTGAAAACTACCACTTCTTGCGATTTGTACATCGATGTTCTTAACAGGAAGCTCGCCAACCAGACTTGTCATTATAAGACCAAGCTATGATTCTCTCTAGTACCACATTACACATGTTGATTCGTTTCACTTGTTGGATCAACTATGTAATTTGTCGGGATGACATTTGCTATTGTTTTTTCCCTTTGTTTGGTACGTGCAGTTTGTAAGTAGCCGTCTTCTAAGCTTAGATTTTTATTTCAGAATACTAAGTACTAAATATTATGATAAATCAAATTAATAAATAGCTATAATAATAATATAGAATAAACTAACAAAGTAAAAATTGATAAAGTCTGATCCTTCAAGTTATAATCTTCTTCTTATATAATATGATCTTAAATAGTAAAACTGATGATATGATAGTATTCGAAATATAAGATATAGTTGTTTTCTATATATATCTGAACAAATTCTATTATTTTGTTGTAAATATATAAAATGTATAGCTAAGTCTATTATAGAGTAGAATCCGGTATCTATGTCTAATTTAAATTCTTCTAGACTTGAGGTAAGGCTTCTAGCAAATCCTTCTGGATGAGTATAGTTATTATGATTAATAGACATTAACAGTAATATTGTTTTTGAAATATTTACTGGTTTAGTAAAATAATTTTACTGGTACGGTAAATTTAGTGCTGTAAAAAACGTTAAACTCTTATGTTGTAACATCCTACTCGGTACTCTCTCTCTTATTCTGTAGACCTATATCGTTACAGTATTATCAAAATTATGCCCTGAAATTACCCCTTCTATACTTTTTTTTTTTTATTTTATTCCACTCTGTTCATCACTTCTTTCCAATTTTTTAAAGAATTAATCTTTTCTTAACTCTTTTTTCATTAACTCCACCCTGGCCACGGTTAAACATATATACCCATTTTTCGTTAATGTTGGGTTTGACTTAACCGGTTTCTCCTAGGAATTTATAGGTTAATCCATCAAAATTATTAAGAAATTGGAAAGATAACCATATACTAAGAGTGGTATATATATATATATATATATGTATATATATATATATATATATGTATGTATATATACCTACTAATAATTGAGGAATAATAAATATAAACTATACATAATAACATAAAACTGTAAAACAGGGGTAATATCCAGAAACATAATTTAGATAAAATGAGTAACTTACATGTTTACAGGAGAGAGATTTCCTTTTCGGGAAACCCAAAAAGTTTACTGGACTTGGGAATTAAGATCTGGCACACACAAGCATAATGATTTATTTATTTTACAAATTCGAGGTAGAAATTGCTAAGGCATACATAAGGAAATATTTTACAAGGTATATTACAAGATGTTTAGAGGATGGTGGGTGATGAAGGAGAGGATTTTGGTGGCTTGGCTTTCTTGAGAGTGTTCTTTCTCTTGTAGTTGTGTCTTCTCTTCTTCTTTCTTTCCCTTTTTATAGCTAAATTTTTGAGACGGATTTCAAAATGGACTCCAAACCCTTCCAGAAATCTTTCTTGTCTAGCCTTGTAGGGTACTTCATTGGGCCCCATCTTCACATGGCTTAGGCAGGGATTTCTTTAGTGTTTGTGACTATTTTCTTCCACTCAAATTTCAGCTTGTCTTGTAGTACTACCTTTTGTCACGTCTTCTTTTCTTTATGTCACTTCTTCTTTTTCTATTGTCTCCCGAATTATTGCTCTTTGTCTTTGTTGCTCTTATTTTTTTATTTATTTTTTTTAACTGAGATCTCGCTTCCTTTTACGTGTCTAAGTTATGTAGAGCTATTGAATCAAAGCTCATTCCAGAATCATCTTCGTATGGATCTTGGGCATCTTGATAATTTAAGTGGTCTTCATTATCATCATCTTCCCCTGAGCTTTGAGACCTTTCTGGACTTCTTTCTGGACTTGGATTAAAACTGGGACTTTTGATCATATGTTTGTCTTGCTTTTCTTTTTCGTGAAAGAAACTTTCTAATGTCTGTTTAATTACGCTTTCTATTTTCTCTTTTTTTTTAGAAATTATACCCTTCTTTTTTAATGCTTCTCCCTGTGTTAGTGTTCTAGGTAGTCTTCGTCTTGATGAACCTTCATCTTCACTTTTTGGCAAAGTGACAGCCATAAACGGATTTGATATGTCTTTACCGGTTACCGTTTGAACCGGACTAGCTGTATCATTATCCGATACAGTAGATTTTGCTGCATTCATTGGGGAATGCACACCCTTCTCATCCATTTTTTCTTGAGATGGAGAACTCTGTTTTGGACTACTCATCTCAGTGTCTTGTTGAGATATAACTTGAGTCTGGGATTGTGTCAATTCAAATTATAACGCATGTATTCTTTGTTCTAGTACCTTCATTTGCTCCATAAGTCTTGTTTTTTCCTGTGCCAAGATTTCATTCTTCTGGTTTATTCGTTTGAAGGCTTCCGTCATTGATGAGCAATGATCACAGAATATTATCTTGTCGTTGTCCTTTTGGATGTTATATTGGGGAATTTTTTCTGGGTTTTGTCTGAGTGCTGGGGAGATATAGTAGTTTGGTCCTAGTATTCCTCTTGCATAGTCTAATGCTTCAGTGAAGTCATTGAAACCTTTAAAAAGTGGTTTTTCTATGTTTTTAATAGAGTCTAGTACTTCTAACCATGTCTGAAAAATGCCATTTGTCTTACCATGTATAACTACATAGTATTTAAATCTTTTTTCTTGATTTTTGTCTGTAAAATACTGTCCTAAGGCATTAAGAGCCGCTATAACATATTTAGTGTCTTTTTTATTATATGTTATCCATAAGTTATCAATTAAACATCTTTGAGGTCTATCTATGACACATTCTGGTAATACTCTAAACGATATGTTTGATGGTGGAAAAAATATTAAATTATGCTTTCCAAAACTTATTCTATCCATATGAGTTTGTTCTGCAAAAGATTGTGGCTTAAAATGAAGATTACCTAATACTGTCTGCAAGTATTTATCTGAGGGTGAGGCTTGAATGCCCTTCCCTTTGTCTTCAGTCTAGGGAACTGTTGGTCTCATGCTGTACATGTAAAATATTTATTAATTAACAGTAATTTTAAGCCTGCTTAACTGATCTGCTAAATTATTATCTTTTCCTTTAATATGTTCAAAAACCAAATTATATATTGATATAGTATCAATAAAATTTAACCATCTTCTTCTACTACTATTCTTTGCATTTATCTTTTGGTGAAACTTAACTATAGCTTCACAGTCAGTTCTAATTGTTACTTCTTGTTTATTCAATATGTATAATTTAAAACTATTTAATTCGTATATTACAGCTAAAATTTCTGCATCCATACTACTCATATTTCCTTTTTCTCTATATTTACCACTTTGGTAAGCACATATTTTTTCTGTATTCCTATCACTATAATTATTTGGTTTTGCTTTCAAAACTGCTCCCCATCCTTCAAAACTCCCGTCTGTTTCTATAATTAAGTAGTCTGTTTCTAATGGCATATTTAAATCAGGAATATTTTTTATTTTTTCTTTGATTTTTTGTACTAATTTAATGTCTTCTATGTTGAAATGTTTTTGTCCTGTAGACCCTGTTTTAGCATATAGTGGTCCTGCTATTTTTCCTAAATCTTTTATAAAATTTCTTGCATAATTTACTATTCCTAAAAACTTTTGTAGTTCTTTAGTATTGTCTAATTTATCTGGCATTTCTAGAGCCTTTTTAGCTATATGAGGTTGTAATTTAATTTTTCCATCCCCTAAAACTACTCATAGAAAATTGATATAATTTTTACATAGTTCCATTTTCTTTTTACTAATTATTATTCCATTATCTACAAATAATCTAAATACTGTCTGTAGATGTCCTAAATGCTCTTTAATATACTTACTAAATACTAATATATCGTCTACATATACTAAAACAAATCTCTTATATTCTCCAAATATACTGTCCATTTTGCGTTGAAAAATTGGTGGAGCTGTTTTTAGTCCGAACGACATTACCAACCATTCGAAATGCCTTTCTGGACAAGTAAATGCTGTCCATTCAATACTTTCTTCATGCATTTTTACTTGCCAATACCCTGATTTACAATCAAACTTACTGAATATCTTTTTTCCTTGTATTCTATTTATTAGTTCTGTTTTGTCAGGTAACTTATATCCGTCTGTTTTAATGTTATCATTAAGTCTCTTATAGTTTATTACCATTCTTGCTTTTCCTCTTATGATTCACTGTGATTTCTAACCATGAAGGCTGCTGACCTATGTCTAGAAGTAGATCTCCTTATCACTCCTAGGCTCATAAGTTCTTCAATTTGATTTCTAAAGTCTTCTAAATCTTGATTTGTAGCTTCTATTGAGGCTGTTTTAATTATATATTCTGGGTTAATTATATCTAATTTACACATAACTTTATTATTTTCCCAATGTTTTAAAGGTTTTTCTCCTATTATTTCTATTTCATCTAATATTTTTATTATATTATCTAGATCCTTTTCATTTTTTATTATTCCTATTTTTTGTATTCCTGTTTTAAAATTATATAACTCTGTTTCTATATCTATTAGAGTATAGTCTTTTTCTAATATATCTTTATCTTCATTTTCTTCTAGTATTAAGGTTTTAGATTCTTCTTTAATCTTACAACATGTATTTTTATCTTTACATTCCTTACAACATTCTTTCTGATTTTCTTGTAGGTTTTTCTGGTTTGCATTCAATCGTGTCCTTATCCTGGTTGCAGTTTCTATTGTTTGTACTGGTGTATGTGTAATATTTTTAAAAAATATTACTCCATCCCTGCTGAATAGGCAGCTATCATTGTTATGTATTATAAAACTTAACCCTAATACAAAATCTACATTTATATTTAAGTCTCTTACCCATATTTTATCTACCTTGTAGCTCGGTTTATAGAAATCTAAACATGTGTTTATAAAGCTAATCTGGGATTTATCTACATAATGTCTGTATATATTGTGGGTTCCATCCATCTGCATAGCTGACCATTTTGCATTTGGATTTTGTATTACTCCCTCTCTTTTATACCATCTTTCTTCTATTTCTCTTCCTAAAACTCCTGGGAGTTTATGAAATAATTTTTTACCTAAATCTTGATCAAAAGCATTTCCACTAATAGTACAATAATAAAAATAATCATTTAAAAACTTTTTAATGTGAAACCTATGCCTCCGACTTATAGACTCGAGGGTCC